AAATGTTATTTAGACCTAAAAAATTGACCTAATTTGTGAAACTAATAGTGCGACTTCAGTAGAACCATTTGATCAACACCAAATTCCAATGTTTAATATGACTCACAAGCAATCCAAATGTAATACTGAATTAAGTCAATAAATTAGATCAATAAATTAGGATCCAATAACATTACTCATTTATTATTCTAAAAAAAATTACTTAAATATGTTCACCTGCAATGGCCCTCGTACATTGCTAGTAAATTTAAATGTATTGACACAACCACTTGATTTCATAGTCTTCCAGCCTGAACAAGGTGGTATTGACCTGGTGATACCATTTAAAAAAGAAAAAGCCTGATGCAGAGATATGGGAAGAATTGAGGATATTATAAATTAATGCAGGTGAGCCCCCATGGATTGATGAAGGTGGGATTGTCCTCACATAATTCTATACTTTCTTGGCTGCAGAGCCTTATTTATTGGACCAAGCATGAATGAGTGCTCTCTCTCTCTCTCTCTCAGTTAGTGGTAACAGTATGTGCAGACCATGTCTATACTTCCCTGCAATGTGCACATGCACACCACAAACATGTAACCAGGACAGACATTTTTATCGACTATGTAATCCTATCCTAAATTTATATGTTAGAACACCAGGTGTACCAGGCCAGGTTGCAGTAAACAACAACCAACTCATAAATATCTTTTCCCTTGTCTTTATGTGCCACTCAATATCTTCTTTATTCTGCTGATTTTGTCGTGAATTTATACATGACATAGAGGAATACAAATAGTCATTATGTTTTAAGTAAATTAATGGACAGTCTCGGACGAATTGAAAATACCATTAAAAATGAAGAGCCAAATATAAATAGTACTGATAAACATATTTTTGATTGAGATGATAAGACCAATTCTTTAATCCCACAAATTTTTACTTGTTCAAGTATCTAAATAAATTGTGAATACGATCTACGTAATAAATGCCCAAGTTTCTTTTGATTCTAAATCTTGGATTTTCGAGTTGAAAGAGAATTAAAATTGATCAAGAAATCTCACTATTTCTTAAATTCATGGATCCAATTCAATGGGATCTTTAATTGACAGTTTTTGCCTCCAAGCGATATCAATCATCAAAGGCACGATTGCAGCATTGCGGATTGGAATACTATATAAAAAGAAATTTTTACGTCACAAGAGATTCAAATCATACGGTAGCATTATCGAACAATATTGACCGATTAAGTGAAAAATTACTCGAATGACTTTTTGTTTCCTCGGAGATGGCAAAAACAGTATCGGATTCAAAATTATGACCCAAAATTATGTATGAGATTTTAAATAAAAAAAATACTGAAAAAAATCTCAGCAAAAGATTTCGCAATCACAATACTCTGCTATTAGTTCATTTATACACATGATGCAAGAGCAAATGGTAGGGGAGGAAATATTGATAGCCAGAATTTCCAAAAGAAAAAAGAAATATTAGCAGCCATATTGTTCATAATTTGGCAAAGCAACCTCATGGTAACATCTGGTGAAAGTCCCAGGACCTTATTCAATTATATCAACCCAGTCTCAGTCTCAGTCTCAGTCTCAGTCTCATTCTCATTCTATGATTTCCCCAACCTCGGGATTATAAAAACATACTCGTTTGACATAGATCTTGCAAGGGAAACTGCAGAAATACTAAGAACTGTGTGCATGGATGGTAATGAGAATCATTTCAGTCGTAGCTTAAATGTCTGAAAGGGTATGACCCAGAGGACATTGACTCTAGAGATATCAGAATGGTTGGTGGCAGGTAATGCCCATACCCTGTTAAGTAAAAATTAATGCCTGAAACCACCCAAACTTGTAAAAAGAATATGTGGAGTTTTCATTGATTATGCACATAGAAATTCAACTTTGTTGTGCCATGTCCCTTTTCACACAATTATTGCTTCCTTTATATTTCCCCCATTCATTTCTTCTTTGCTTGCATCTTTATTATTACTCTTGTTCCAGGCTTGTTGCAATGCTATACTCCACTCAAATCAGAAAGGCCTTATTTATATGCCAGACCCCAAAGAGTTAAGACAAGGCTTGTGGCAAAGTTACTAATTTAAGAAAAAAGTCTACAACTTTTCTTAACTTTGCTTCAGCTTTACTTCAGTTTTAGAAGGTATAGACCCTATTTTTCTCGAGGCAGTGGACTTGAAAGGCCTTCACCCCTTGAACAACTAGTGAACAACTAGTGCGCCAGTACACAAGTCTCCTGACCCTATAGGATTTGAAGAGGACTAAATATACACAGTGTTATCTCCGCATACAGGAAAGACTATTTTCATGGCTCAAACCCCTAATGCTCAGGTCACAATGAAGTAAACTTACCATCATGTCAATCTCAATTTCTATGCAGCAATACATTAATTACTGCACAAAACCTTTGCTATTTCATGGAGTTTTCGAGTGATTATCATGTGAGTTGGCTAGGAAAAGGATAATGAAGTGGATCAAATACGTTCCACATATGCAAGAATAGTAATGCCCTGCAACTTGATTACAAGATGCTATGGCAAGTCAAAAACAAATTTAAGAGCACCAATCGAGAAACTTCTTTGCATCTGCGCATGCAACAAGTTTGGCAAAAAAAAATATTCAATTAATTCAGTACTGTGAGTGTTTGTGCAAGGATGAAACTTTCATTGCATTTTCATCAAAACACCTGAAACATTTCGGTTTGCATGTAAACAAATCAGTGATTTTACATCAAAATTCCTGTGTGTTGATTTGTTTCAGAAGCCTTTGAACTGTTTCTAGATATGTCAATACATTTTGGCTACTGTGTTGGCTCTTTTCCCTGCAATAACTTCGAAATGTTTTCATTTCCGAGTTGATCAAACTATGCACCAAAATGAAGCTTTGATCCACAGGGGTATGCATGAGCACAGGCATTTGTAAATACATTGAAGAACATATCATAAAAGAGGTTAGTAAATGCAATAAATTTAGTAAACACGTATTTTCAATGAACTCAGCAGTATAAGCACGCCTGGCTGAACACAAACATATGTAAACAGATTGAATAAAAGAAGTCATAACCTTAATTGGTGAGTTTCTGTCTTCAAAGTTCTCAGCATCAGTTTTATCAGATGACAACAGTGACCTTTTATAATGGGTGACATATTCAAAGTAGGCGACCCTGCAGCTCTCAGGCATCATCCACTGAAATGATGCAAGCCCTAAAATAACATTCATCACATAGCTATGCAAATGTACCAAAACAATCATCATTAAGTACTAAAAATTAATAATGATACATAAGCTTCTCTTTTTGCAATGCAGACATATGAACTTGGGCCCAACATTAACACAATCAGCCCCGCGGTATGAACTTGTGTGCAAACTAGTTGAACATGGTTGAAGTTTCACAGCAGAAACAAAAGCAATCTCTTTATGAACAAAGTTGAAGTGTCCATTAAAATGATCTCATGAACCATCTGCCTGATTCATTTAGAATCCCTATACACATATTGATGCATTTCATAAAGATCCTAAGAAATTTTTTTACTCAAGGTAGAGAAATGTTTTGGAATTTAGTTTAAGTTGTGGGGCGCATTGGACCTTGTGTAATCATGTTCTAGTCTTGGTGGAGTTATTTTGTGTTTGCTTCATATATAGCTGGTCAATTCTATGCCTTTTTTTTTTTTTTGACAGCCGATGGTAATTCTATAAAGTGTAGTAATTAAACACCGGCGTTCGTCTGCTATAGATGGATTAATAAGGCTTTCATATGGTCTTCAGAAAGTCTCCACAGGTTTCACCAGTCAAAGATTCCAAATAGGGTGTTCAAGCCCTAGTAGAGTTAGGATTAGTAAAGCTCTCATATCAGTGAGAACAGGTTTCAGAGTAATTTTCCACCTTCTGGGTTATTTGTGGATTGTTTTATGCAGTTTCAACTTGAGATGTGGTGCCTATGGGATTCCAGGAGTGGATATCAGAATTTTTCCTTTTTCTTCTTCAGTTCAATTTTCTGCGATTTAAAGCCTTTCAAAAACTCACAATCAAATGTGATTAGACTTGTGTTCTACTTGATTCATCTTATAAATTAGCTCCCAAGGCTCCTTCAAGCAGTAGGTGAGCCCTAAGGAGTAAGGCGTGTGCTACACTAGTGCCCAAAATAGACAAAAAAACACTCTTAGTTTTTCTACACAGGAGTAAGAGATATATGAAGAAATGACAAGTGGATCAGGGGAGAGTTGTAGAAAGCACCAACTTCTCAACAATAAAGAGTTGTACAGAAATAAAACATCGATTGAAAAATGATGGGGAGCTAATGTAGGCTCACCAGAAATGCACATACAACACCACTGTCTTGCTCGATGCAAGTAAGTGCATGACACTGGAGAAGGACTACTTTAATGTTTAATTGGTCTAGGGTGACATGCACTCAAATCTTAAGAAAAACAATAATTCAGTAGCAAGTCTATAACATTAATCAATCAAAATAGCACCAGAATCATAAAGATAAATATCCTGTCAAGAATCAGCCCAAAATCCTGTGACCATCAATCTTCATCTTACAACTTTAATAAACCACATCCAAAGCTTATTTCAAATAAAAATAAAAAGTTAACACAGTTTGCAGGAACTGGGTAATCTAACAGCCACAAAATTTAACTACCGAGATAGGTCACAAAATTTAACAACCAGGAGCAACAAATATTACTAATACTATGAGCCTTTGAGATTACATGCATACATTTTAATATTGCAGAACACTATTTTTGGCAAACATATTTCTACATTTTCTCATCCTATACATTTAAATTTTAATTTCAGATTCTGCAGGATCTTTTAAATGTTTATTTTCATAACAATCTCAAATATATAATAGTTTAAACATATCTTGATTTTCAACTAGGTTTCTTATTAACAAGTTGCTTAACAATAATTTCTGAAAAGGAGTAAAGCAACTGAAAAGGCGATGAAAAATTTCAACGCAGGTCGTGCTCTAAGCATTTTCACAGCAGAAGGCTTCTCTCATAGGCTTTTATTCACTTCACCACTTCAGTAGCATCTCTGACTAAGAATTATAAAATACAATTTCCATCATTGTGTATCACCAAAAATGTTACAGGAATTTATCTCCAACTTTGGAATAGGACATGAATTGTGTAAGAACAGTTCACACTTCAATCACTTTTTGACACATATTTGGCTCCTGAGTTTCAGCATAACGTCATCAAAGACTTTTCCTGTGCACCAACCTTCTTCCATCTCCTAAAAATGCCCAAGGTAAAAAGAAGGAAAAACAACTAATTTAAAAGGACTATGTAAATAAAAACAACAAAAAAGGAGATAAATGTGTTTCACCTAACAAGACGAGCACACCAGATAAATGGATTATTGCATGAATAGGTTGCATGACTGATTACCAAGGCTTAGAAAGGGAAACCGATATTATTCATTAAAATTTGTAAAAATGAACTTTCTATAAAAGCCTCGTGTTCATTAAAAAAAAAAAAATAAAAGCCTCGTGTTGGTAAGTTGACGAACAATAAACAATAATTGACTACAGAGGGTGAAAATACCTTATTTATGACATATTGTTCGCTTATATCAAACATTATCAGAAAAAGCGCCCAGAATAAACTATGTGAATTCCTGTCACCAGTAGTCACTACACGAACACAAACCATCAGCAAATTAGTGAACCACAAACGACAAATGACCAATAATAAATATGATTATTAGAGGATGAACATACTTTGCATATGACCTATTGTTAGCTTAGTGTCAAACACTACCAGAAAAAGGGCCGAGATTAATTTATGTGGATTCATGTCACCAGTAGTCTCCACATGAACACAAACCATCTGCAAATCGGTGGAATCGATTGATATCTCTAACAATAATCTCTCTCTCAAAAATTTCTGAAGCAAACTTCATAACTGTATGACAATCCCCACAAGTCGTAAGATTTTTCTTAATCCTAATTGGAGCCCTAACAGGAAGGGTCAGTAATCCAAATGCAAGGGCAAGTTTTTCACTGTGATACCATAAGCTCTGCTCTTTGTACTCTTCTACATTGTTGATTGCATATTGTGTTTCAGCTACATATCCTTTCTTCTTCACCAACTCCTTCAACTTTCCCAACATCTCATAAATCTTGTTCGTCCTAGAATGTGATCGGTCATGAACTGTAAAAACAAAGGTTCTGTTCTTAACATCAATCCAGCTACATCCAGTCTCCTTCCTTACACCATTGACTGCCATTGATCTCCTCACTTCATCAGCTTCTTTCAACCTTCCTTTACGTGCATACATGTTACAAAGCAGCACATAATTTCCTGGATTATCAGGTTCAATTTCAAAAAGTCTCTCTGCAACTTCTCTACCCATTTCAAGATTCCCATAATTCCTGCAAGCAGCAAGCAAAGCTCCCCATATAGATGCATCAGGTTCAATTGGCATCAATTCTATGAAGTTCTTAGCTTCATTTAATCTACCTGCACGACCTAGCAAATCAACCATGCAGGCATAGTGTTCACGCCCAGGGTTCATATTGTGCCTTTTTGTCATGGAGTTGAAATAAGCAAATCCTTCATCAACATGGCCGGTATGGCCACAAGCTGATAGAATGCAAACAAAAGTTATATAGTCAGGCTTAATCTCCTCTTTCAGCATGCTCTCAAACAATTCCATCACTTGGCTTGCACAACCATGTTGTTGGCACGCTGAAATCATGGCTGTCCAAGATACCACATTCCGGTCTTCACTCTCTTCAAATACCTGATGAGCGTCAATCAAGCTCCCACACCTAGAATACATTGAAATCAATGAGCTCACAATGCATATGTTTGTCCCAAACCCAGTTTTTATTATCTGATCATGGACCAAAGTACCCTGATCCAATGCTGCTATATTAGCAACAGCATGAAGGACACTAGAGAATGATGCCTCATCAGGCGATATCCCTTCACCTATCATGCACCAAAAATAGTTGCAAGCCTCTTCGTAGTTGTCATTTTGGACAGACCCCATGACCATGACATTCCAAGTCACGACATCTCTATCTTCTATAGTCCGAAACAACTTAACAGCATCTTCAAATAGACCACATTTACAGTACATGTCCATTAGAGAATTCTTCACATAAGCTAAAGATATCAACCCATACTTAACACCAAGCCCATGAACTTTCTTCCCAATCTCCACAGCGCCCATGTTAGCAATAGCACTCATAACACTCGAAAAGCTCACTTGATCAGGACTTATCGACGTCTGGCCAACAACCCCCTTAAAAAACCTGACTGACCCATCATACAACTTGTTCTCCAAGGACCCCACTATCATAGAATTCCAAGAAACAAGGTTTCTCTCAGGCATTTCGTCGAATACTCTCTCCGCTGAACCCATATCACCACACTTCGCATACATATCAACCAATGCACTACCAACAAACACATCAGAATCAAACGCATGCATACATATCAAAGAATGAATTTGTTCACCATGAAAGGCTATCATAGTGTCAGCGCAAGCCGGCAAAACAGCAGAGAAGGTGAAATGATTTGGATACACACCAGTGCTTCTCATTTGGTTGAAAAAGGACAAAGCCTGAAAGGGTCTATTGTTATGGGATAGCTGGGTAATGAGAGATGTCCAAGTGACAATGTTCTTAGATACAACATGGGTCGTTGAGAACAGTGTGAGAGTTTGGTTGATATGGCCGCATTTAGCATACAAGTTGAGGAGGTTATTGAAGAGGAAAGGGAAGGAAATGTAATCGTTAGTGATGATTTGGGTATGAATTTGGATTGCATGTTTGATGTTTTTGGTTTGGACTGCGTTGTTGATCAGAGTGTTGAGATTGGTTGGAGAGAGAGGTAATGATAATGAAGAGGACTGTAGGTATAAGTTGTGGAATAATTTGAGGAAAGGTTGTTTTGAGAACAAAGGTGGTATGTTGATCTGGTCGAGAAGGAATGGAATTTTCATACTACCAATTGATATAAATTTCTACCATTTATTTTTGGCCAGTTGATACGAAATTCAAATCATCTGCTTTCATGTCATGCCTTCTCTCTGCGCTCCCGTGGGTATGACCAAGTCCTTAAAAACTTGAAGCAAATTAAATAAAAAAAGTAAAATATATTTTGATCCCTTAATTATGACTTTCGTCTTATTTTGTTCTCACAATTATTGATTTTTTACATTTTTCCTCTCAACTTCTTAAATTGGTCTGTCATTGCCCTAAAATTAACAAGTTGCCATGTTTTAGACAGAATATATCAACATATGAAGCAAATACACGTTTTCAATGTTTAAAATTGGACTAATGTGAAATTAATATCTACAACTAAAAGGTGCAATATGTGAAATATGATAACCGATGGGATAATTTAAGATCAATAATTATAGCTGGAAATGTGTTGCTCTAAAATTTGTTGGGATTGATAGAGATATCCTAATCGGCAGACAATTTTCCGGCAACTATTTGAAATGAGTTCAAATGCCTAATTTCGGGACTTCTTTGGATGAAATAAAAGGGACAATCATAATGTTCAAAGACGAAATGAAATAACAAAGAATTAATAAAATAGTATTGCTTTATTAATTCAATCGCAGAGACTTCGGTTACAAAAGAGTGAATAAAACAATCTATGGCTCCTTAAAACTAATTTAAAACTACTTTTAATAATGCCCGGAATGTGGATTTTTTGGGGGTTTGAATGTATCTTTATCTTCTCCACTAAAAGAAAAAAAAATATATTCTCCACTAAAAGTGCCTTCTTATAGGCATTATCTTCGCCGGTTTTGCTCTTGTTGGAGGTTACTGACTAGTAACAACCAGTTAGTTACTTCTTCCTGTCCAAATATTGTTGTGGCTCATCATCTCTCATTTCTCTTCAGATTTTGTCACGTATTGTTTCCTCAATGCATATGAGATGTCAAGTGTCAATATACTGAATATTCCCAAAATTTTATATTTTGGGTCCACACAATGCCCCCTCATTTATTTGAGTTTAGTTTAATAACTTAGATAAATGAATAGCCATAACCATTTAACCTTCAAACACCTATTTAAAGGAACTCGGCTATTGTAATGTTCACTTAATCTTGCTTTAATGTTTCTTGCTATCGTCTCTTCTATATTTCCCAACGATCTTCCTTCTAATCATCAATTTTAGAATCCCTCAAATGGCATCAAAACAAAAAATGGATTAACTATCTTCTCAAGTTCCTTCATCAGATTTGCCTTTGATTCTTCGCTTTCTTGCCAATATTAGATGTGCAATTTGGGACTCAGTAGATGACAATATCCTGATTCATTCTTTGGACTCCAGCTCAATTTTGCATAGGATTTTGCCTTTAAATCAAGTATACTCCCAAAGTTTTTTGAATTCTATCTTGTTTCGAAAGGGGAATTCCTAACACTTAATCGATCTCACTTACGATGGAAATCTTGCGATCAACGGATTAACCCCTTAAAGTCTTGGGTTGATCCAGACCAACAATAGATTAATTGGGTAGAACAAATGGAGATACATTTGTTGGACCAATGGATGCTGTAACACCCCGCATTTTCTTTTATATATGTATATAGATATATAGTAAATAATTGTTGTAAAAATGGGGATATGTGTAGTGATGTGTGTTTGAATTTGGTAGAATGAAAAAGGGATGAACAGTGCACTGGCTGTAACATAAAGCTCGATTTCGACCTTGATGCAGTCCATATCTCTCAAAACTTAAAACATGAAATTTGTAGATCTCTCTCTTAGGATTCCATATCACCTTGAATCATCTCAATCGGAACTAGGAGGAAGGAGTTATGTCCATATTACGAAGTAGTGTCTACACTGTCCAAAAATCTGTCCGGCAGACTACCTTTCGCTAATTTCATCATAACTCTTTATTGGAAAGTCCGAATTGTGCACCGTTATTTTTGTTAGAACCCTAACTCGTATATCTTTCCAACCATATAGGTTACACCTCCTAGAAATACCTGAGTCAAATCAGTTTATTCTATGAAGTTGACCAAAAATCTGCACTATGGTGCTCCTTGGATAGTAAAGGGTTGTGCTTTCTTATTAGACCTTGAAGGTGTAAAACCCCATATGTTTACATTAATATATTAATGTACTTGTTTAGTGATTCTTCTATATGTAATGACTTAAGAATAAACCATATATATATATATTAAAATCGTAAGGATATCACCTATAGTAGTTCGAAGGAATAAAATAGAAATTTTAATGTTCCAAGTGTGAATTTATTTTAGTTTTGAAATAAATCATAAAAAGCAATGTTTTTAGGTTAAAATAACATTAAAAATGAATCCGGAACGTCGAAAAACCTTAGGGTAGTCGTATGGATCAAATTGGAGATTTCTAGTGGCAAAACTGTAATTTTGGAAAAAAACTCAAAATTCAGCCCATGAACAGTGATTGTCGCGGACTGCTGTGTTTAAAACACAGAAACCAGCCCATTTCCTTCCATTTTTTCTCACATCTCTCACCCCCAAACCCCTTAGCACCCTTGGGGAAGATAGAGGAAAGGAGGAAAGGGAGAAAGGAGGTCATTAGAACTTGGGTTTTTGGTTTGAAACTTTGATTCAAGGTAGGGGTTATTTCTTCCATGCTTGTCCATTGAGGCTAAGGCTAAAATATATATATGTTTTGATTCATACTTGTATGTATTTGCTAGGAATTCCTTGTTTCTTGGTTTTCTTGTAATTATGGCATGTCTTAAACAAAGTTAGGATTGATTACCCATGAAACTTCTTTTATAGCTTTAAAACCCTAGTTTTTGGGGAAATATGAATTCTCTTTCTACATTTGCTCAAGCTTGGTTTTGAGAACTTTAGTGCTTTGTGTGAGTAATGAAAATGATGTGGTGGTGATCTCTTGTATTTTTCTTAATTGGTTATTTGGATTGTCGCATGATAAAATTTGGGGATTTTGATAATGGTTGCTTGTTGAGGGCAATGTGTAGATTTTATCTTGTATGTGATTGTTGGTATGAAAAGAGGATAATTATGAACCGAGGTTACTCGTAAGTATGCGGTTAAGTGTGGAATACTTGAAGGGGGTAGAGGTTACTTGTAAGTATGCTACCTACCAAAAGAGGATATTTATGAACCGAGGTTACTTGTAAGTATGCGGTTATGTGTGGGAGACTTCAAGGGGGGTAGAGGTTACTTGGGGGGTAGAGGTTACTTGTAAGTATGCTAACTACCAAAAGAGGATATTTATGGACCAAGGTTACTTCTAAGTATGCGGCTATGTGTTGGATACTTGAGGGGGGTGGAGGTTACTTGTAAGTATGCTACCTACCTAAAAGGACATCTAACGACCGTGGTTACTTGTAAGTATGCGGTTATGGGAAACAAAGACTTGAAGGGGGTGGAGTTTACTTTTAAGTATGCCACCTGCCAAAGGAAATATAATAATCGATGGTGGAATAAGCGTTCCTTTTTGTAGTATGGTGTTACTATTGCATTTTCCACAAGAGCTTGTGGAGGTATGGGACTCTACAAGAACTTGTTGGAAATGGTTATGGTTGCTCATTGTGACTTGTGTTTACTGTTCATTTAAATTATTGCGAATGTTTAAACTTGAGATCTGTTTCAAATGTCACGGTTTTACTTCAAATGTTATATGATATTTTGGAAAATAAGACCGAACTGTTTTACTTGTTTTCTAAACCTTGTATGAGTATGGAAGGAATGTTGCTACAGAGCTTAGTGCTCATCCCCTACAGATAATATCTTTTCAGATTTCGTCTATGAGGAGGAGTTACAAGTAGATGAACCAGTGCATGGGGAAGCTCCCCTAGAGGGGAACGGGGATCCTGAACTGGATGCCTAGAGTTATATTTCTTTTGTACTAGACTAGAGAGTTTACTTTGAAATCATGTAAAGTCTAGTATTTTGTTATTTCACTGCAAGTGTAATTTAACTCTTTTGGGAATATATTTGTCATACTTGGCCTATTCTTTTGGGATGGCATTGTGGATATGACATATGATGAATGAAGGTTTATTTTATGATGGATAAATAGACCCGGTGTGGTCAATAGTTATGCATATGTGGACCCGGTGTGGTCAATTGTAATATAATTGTACAGGTTGTGTTTTGGGTAAAGCTCCCCGTACAAAGGAGACTCTGCCCAAATTTTGTTAAAATATGAATGGTTGATGAATAAACTTTCGTTGTGATGAATTTACGTAATGCTCTCATGGTGTGAATGGTTTTTAGAATGTAATGTCACCCAAGGGGGTTTTTGGGGCGTTACAGATGCAACAGAGGATATATGAGCATATCAAATTCTGAACGAGTCCATTGTATATGCATCATTGGCTCATAGGTGCAGTTACTTGTTTCTCACAGTCCTGTAATGTCATGCTTCTTCATTTTGGCATGATATCTCCATCTATTCTTGATGTTGTACATCTGACAGGGATCTCATCGACAGATATAGAGATAACTGCATCCTTGAAACCTGAACATGTTTTACCTGACCTCCCAGATAACTTCAACTGTTTAGACCACATTGCTTTCTTTTGCAAGCTAGATTTTGTTCCTTCCTCGTATGAGGGACATGTGGCTTTTCTCCTTCATTGGCTCTACCATTTTGTCCATTGTATCCCTAGTTTCAAGATTACTAGGGATTATTTTAACATTGTTGTACTCTTGGCAAACCAAAAAGTTTTGGCATTAGCTCCCTATGTTTTAGGTGCCCTTTATAGAGGTCTTTTCACCATGGTTGAAAAAGGGATGGACACAAAATATGGAGGTCCTTTCTGGCTACTTTAGGCTTAGCTATATACCTATTTTCCTGAAACTTGGGCCATCAAATATCTTCCTTATCCCAAGTTCATACTTATCAATTATGCTCACTTCTTCCTCATGTCAGTCTCTCCAACTCCGTATAAGGATTTTGAATTATATTTCAAGGCATTCTTTACTCTTAACTTTGACATATGCTTTTCTCTCTTTTCACCTTTTTTTTTTGAATACCTCTATTTATCCTTACTTCTTAGAGCATTTTT